GCAGCACCTGGGTATGCTCCTGAGGACTCAGCCATTTATGACCTTCTCTAACTCGCCAGTCTGACTCCCTTCCAATTGGAGGTCTGGTAGGGGAAGGATATCAAAGTCTTCGGAGGCAGGGGCGCAAATTGCCACCACTTCCTTCGCTCTTCCATAGTAGGGCTTCCACATGGAGCATGGAGCATGCGTCGCACTCCCGCTCCAGAGCAAGGGCAGATCACATAGGTGGTGTCGCATTTCTGCTCTACCACCTGGTATAGGCCCTGCCAGGCTGCCTGCAGCTTGTCATTATGGTCAGGTTTAAAACTAAAACTTTCTGTCCCATCTGAAAGCTACAGTCTCTGGCTCCCCAATCGTACCATGTGCGCTGTCGACTCTGTGCCGGAGGTTCGTTATTACAGTTCTAGTCAACTCCTCCAGGTGGTCACGGAACTCCAGTACATATGGGACTATGGGGGTCTCCTCCTGGCTGGTATCCCCTTCCCGGTGTTCTCTGATAAGGTCTAGGGGCCCCCTCACCCACTTCCCGAAGAGTAGCTAGAATAGGGAGAACCCTGTGGATTCCTGGGGCACCTCCCAGTACGGAAACAGGAGGTGCAGCAGGAATCTCTTCTAGTCTCAGTTGGTGGCTGTGAATCTTTGGAACATTTGTTTCAATGTCCCATTGAACCACTCACATAGGCCATTAGTTTGGAAGTGGTAAGGCAAGCTCATAATCGACCTAATGCCGCAGAGCCTCCAGAGTTGGTGTGTGACCTCAGCAGTAAATTGGGAGCCCCGATCCAAGATTCGCATCAGGGCTTCCGCAAACCATTTCTGCATGAATGTTGGCCAGCGCCACTGCCTCTAGGTATCTGGTCGCGTAGTCCACCACCGTCAAGATGTATTTCTTGCCGGAGGGGCTAGACTTAGCTAAGGGCCTGACTCCAGCTATGGTTCATTGTGCGAGCCTGTTGCCTGGTGACCACCGGGTCTCAAAAGCAGAAATTAGCTTTCTCAGATAGTTCCCCAATTGTTATCCAATAACACCTCCGCAGGCAGCTCCTGCATCAGCCCAACCTCCACGATCCCAGACCCCGCTCCCCACTGCAAATGTAACCGATACACAGCTCCCCCTGCTACCCAAACAGCCACAAAATTTTCAGTTTGCACTGCTTCAGGAACTAGATGCTGTTTGACTAGAGTGATGGGTGGCTCCCATGTCTCTGAACCCTTGGACCATCTTTCCCTGTAGGTGCATGGTCTGCCGGTGGTGCTGTCAGTTTTCAGCTGCTGCTTGAACCAGGTCATAATGTGTGGGGGTCTCGGCATGGTAATAGTGGGCAGCTGCTCTTGTAGTTGGAGGGGGCCTGGGACGGATCCATTGTGCCCAGTCCCTGTTCTGGGCACAGTCCCGTTGCATGTTCCCGTATCTTTTTGCCCAGATGGCACTGCACACTACTTTGTTGTTGGAAGTGTGGTGGTGGAGGGTTGAAGGTACTGGTGACTCTGGGTTGTGCTATCGGCCCTGGAGGGGGTAGCACTGGTCAGGTGAAGATTTTTAGCTGGACCAGTCTTTGATGTTGGCGGGCATCTAGGTATTCATCTGCCCACCTTGCCGCATCTGTTATGGTGGTAGGGTTGTGGCCCTGCACCCACTCTTCTATCTCTGGAGCCAGCCCATTAAAAAACTACTCCAGTAGCATCAGCTGCAAAAGTTCCTCCATTGTGCTTACTTGGTGGGCTTGCACCCATCCCATGAGAGTCTTTCTCCGCTTTCCTCATCTCTTTGAACTGCCTCCGGTATGCCTACAGACTGATGGCATACCTGGCTAGTATCACTGTCTTTACCCAAACATAGTCCCAATTATCCTCGCTGGGGGACGGTTCGGTAGACTTCGTCTGCCCTCCCTGACAGTCTGCTAGACAAAAGTGGAACCCAGGTTTTGGGACTGATCCTACACAATGCACACTGTCTTTCAAAGTCTTTGAAGAAGGCATCAATATCCTCCTCTGCCTCCACAAAGTTTTTAAAAGAACCATAGGGTATTTTTGCCTTACCCTCTTGCACTATGGTTACCGCCTGGGTCCTTTCGGGAGTTTGTCTTTCGTCCCATTTTAGCACAAACTCCTGGACTCTGACATGGTTCAGGCAATAATCTCTCTGTCGACGGGTTTTCACCATAAAAAGATAAACAAAGTAGTAGTTCTCTTTGAAATTCGGTAGTTTCCTGTTCGAGCTGATCCGAAGCGCTGTCCGTTCAGTATTCCGCCATAGGTTCAGCAATGAGGTTGGCCTTTTTCTTATTACTTGCCGCTATCCCTCTTGCTTCCAGAAGATCCTTTAGCGTGGACCGTTTCAAGACGGTGTAGTCAATCTCCATCCACCGTCCATCTGGTACTGCTAACCATCCACTGTGGCTTTTTTTTATTTTTTCAATAAGATTTTTATTCAACCAATGTAGCAGAGCCCTAGTCCTAACAGGGACTTTCCTCCACTGGATCACCAAGAGTAGAATCAGAAACAAGAAAATGCCAAGAACCACCTCCTCCCCAGCAAATGAGCAGAGTGTTCTGGGAGTAAAACTGCCTTTATTTTGCCTCACATGGCTTTTATGCATTGCCCCTAGCATGGGGTTTTGTAAGTCAAAAACACAAGGGTTTCTTTCCCAACAGGCTTTGTGGTTGAGCTCAAATTAGGATAACTCAATTATCTCTCAAATGCAAAAACTTACATATACTTTTAACATATCAAAAAATGCATGAAAACAGTAGAGGAACTCCATATTCCCAAATAGCCCCGATCTGCGTGCATAGCATATCCAAAAAGCGCTCAGAGCGGTTCTGTAAAACCAAAGTTATGTTCAAACAAAGTTTTGACCGACCGGCCACGAGGGGAAAGCCCAAAACTGTTCCAGAGAATTGGGCAGGAGAGCCAGTTGGCTATTGGGGGTTCCTGTGCGAACACCGATGAACGCTCCCCCTGTCTATTATCGAGTGAGAGCTCCCCCTGTTCGGTAGATCATATCTCCCGAACATCGTTTGTCTAGATCAGGGGTAGGCAACCTACTGCACTAGTGCCATGCACGGCACTCAAGGTGTCTTTGCACGGCACTCAAGGCTGCTAGAGCCAAACAGGCTGTGGCCTATCAGAAGTCCCAGTGAAACTTCAGATATCTGCTAATACGAAAAGGTGGTGAAGGACAATCCTCAATTTATGCATTGCAGCACGTAGAGGAAGTGATCTCAGATCACTTCCTGCCAACACTTGCAGCTGCTGTTACTGCTCCTGTCCTTGACCTGTACCTGGCCAGCCTGGTCCCCACTGGAACCCAGGGAAGCCACCCACACTGCTAGATATACACAGAAGTGCAGAATAGCCCTCCCCTCGTACAAATAATACGAACAGCCCACACACAAACATACACACAATCCACACAAATATAACCCGCTAACAATCCACATACATGCACACAACCCCACATGCAGCCTCTCACATGCAATACCCCAAACAGCCCACACACACTACCAAACACACAATGTGACATATCCATCCACACACAATTCCACAAGCAGCCCTCATACAAAGCCCACATTTATATGTATCATACACAATACCATAAACTACTAATGAACATATTCAATCTAATAGCTCATATACACACAAATACAATGATACAAAGCAATTACAGTATAAACAATGCAAGCAGAATATGGCAACATACACACCTCAATTTTAAAAAATAGGACATCGCTACAGGACATCACAATCCTATATCGGCACAGTGCTGCTAAAAAGTTGCCTACCCCTGGTCTAGATGGTTGGGAAGTTTAACAGGCAGTGGTACCTCTATTGCCAGGGTTCATGGAGATGCGAGGCCAAAATCAGTTCCAGGCATTTGACGAATAAGTACTGCTGCCTGTGTTCCAGAGACAAAAAGCACAGGACCCTCCATGGACCTCAATGCTGTATTCTCGCGCATACAAGAGAGTACAGCAGTGATGCTGGCTCCTGGAGCTGAATCACCAGGAGCAGAAGAGAACTGGATTGAATGCGATGATGGTGCCTGCGAGGGACAGGTTCCGTTAAGTAATTTTCACTTTCCCCTGCCCACCACAGCCACTGGACCACCAGCATCAATGTCACCGGTGGGGGTCAAATTATGCAAAGTCCTTAGGCGTTGACAGTGCTACTTTAAAATCAGCCTATAAGGTTAAATGTTAAGTATTTTTGTATAGCACAATAACTAGTCAAAATTTTTTTATAAATCATGTTTTTTTTGGGAGAAATGTCTGCATAGATATAATACAGACACACATAGATACATAGATATAAACAGGCAAAGGCAGAGAAAGTCCCTAAAAACCATGGGAGAATTTACTGTGTGTATAAAATTGTTATTAAGAACACGTTTCCTGTCAGTGATACTAGCATAACATGTTGCAAGTTCCAACATTTGAGTGTATTTCTAAAATATTTAAATACTTATACTAACAAGTCGTGGAGTTATTAAAGCTGCACTGTAAGCACTATAACCATTTCATATTTTTTTCTCATCTCCTAGCCTCCTAGCCTCCTAGCCTTCAATTTTCTTCTTCTACGTTCTATTACTAAAAAAAACAATAACGGGGGGCGGAGCTTAGCCACTGAACCAAGTGGTCACTCACACAGAGAGCTCTGGCAAAAACGAGAGTAAATCGACGGCAATTACAGCCAAACAAGCCTATATAACTCCAAAACCCTACAGGCAGAGCAAGGGGGCAGATCCGACAACTGACTAATGCCCTTTATGTACCAACAGACAGGTCTGAAAGTCCGCCGCTAAGCCAAGGCCTACCCAGACTACAGGGCCTTTAAAATGGCGCTGCACAGCGTGGCATTCTCCATCTCTACACCATTCGCAAAGAACACGTACACTGACCTGGCAAACATAGGGAGGAAATCCCAGCGGATAGCAACAGGTGCGTGTAAAGATACCCGCGATATCAGCACCATGCTCTAGCGCCCAGCGGTCCCAAAGATGGCAGCCACACCTGACCCAGAGACCAGCTCCACATGCTCGGAGCATGCCACGGGGTATACCCTAGACCAACAGCCACCCCAAGACATACAGGCTGACCCAGATGCACTGACACTAGCCACTAAACTAGACATTAAAAACCTCCTACTGGAACTAAAACAGATGTCCGCAGCAGATATGGCCATGCTGAAAACCTCAGAGGAGGACATAATAGACGTCTAACAAGAAATGAGTGGCTTTAAAGAAATGGTATCCCAACTAAAGTCCTCTCACTCAACTCTGATTAGCAAGCTGGAGGCGGCGGAACAGAGAAACTGCAAAAGCAACGGGAAAATCAGGGGAATCTCCAATGACTTCAGCCAGTCATAGTTGCCGCATTACCTCAAACGACTGGTAGCCACCATACTGCCACATGCTCAGGCCAAAAAACTAGCCATCTTGGAGATATTTCATACCCGCAAATCACCACAGACACCCCCTCAAGCAACCAGAGACGTGATTGTCCGGTGCCACACTCAAGCAGACAGAAATGCCATCTTCGCCACTCTAAGAGGGAAAACGCCACTGAACTTTGAATCTGGAAGTCTCACCTTCTATCAGGACCTGACAAGATCCACACTCCAATGGAGAAGAAACCTGTACCCAGTGCCCCGTCAGTGGACCACAACGGCACTACTCTGCACCTTACCTCCATCCAGGAGGCAGACTCCTTCCTCAGGGCACTGTAGCTCCCACCGGGACCTGATCCAATTGACGAGCCCACCAGCTCCCAAACATGGGACCCCACTAGGACTGTCCCCTTTTAAACGAGGAGGAGGGTAGCCCCGATAGCAGACACCTGACATCAATGACCACTACTCAGCCCACTGGCAAAAAGTTACCAGAGTTAATGTTTCTGTTTTATTCATTTGTTTATCTCTTTTTAACCAGCTCAGCAAACTATTAGAGAACTCCGCAAGGCACACATTCATATAATATTCCCCTGAGTTAAAGGGTCACCCTATCGGCGATGGCCCATGTACCGATATAACCACTAACGGGCACCGCACCACACACAAAAGCCAGCTCCATTGCCAATAACATATTTACCCCGCCCCCTGCGACCTCCATGGTTAGGGATCGTGGACCACACGCACACCGTACAAGCACCTATGAGGCACACAGAGCACCTTAGGGACAGGGATAGATACGTCCATGCAACACAAGCCAGAATAACATGCCCTAGTTAGTGCCACAACGGAAAGTAGTGTGGCACAACTCTTTATCACCATGGTCACCACTAGGACTCACTTACACGGAGCAAGCGATAATGGCACACTAACCAAGATCCGAACTAGATGTAAAAAGCCAATCTATCTACACATAACCTCTTATCTAATGTGAGACTATGGCGATACAACGATAGATTTAGCCAGACTGTTGTAACGTGTAAATTTAATTCAAAAACTTGTGCACTGTCTTCTAATGCCAACTGTCTATTTATGTCGTATGTTTGAATACTTGAGAACACTGCTGTGGCATCTCAAGCACCTGTGATACGCAATTGCACAACAAAAATAAAGAATTCCAAAAAACTCAACAGCTCTTTCCACATCCAGATACAACACAGAGACTTTGGATAAAAATTATTCCTCAAAAATTACAAATATCCTCACTGCCTCAGGGTCCAATAATGCCCTAGGGATCAGTGTAAAATGTATTTATTTATATATAAAATATTTTATTCATAAAATATTTTACCTGGAAAGATACATTGAGATTTCTCTCGTTTGTATATCCTGGGATCAATAAGTCAGTATAGCTAAAGTTTTCAAAGAATATTTCACTAAACTTTTTTTGATCACTCAAATTTCTGTAATTTTACCTTCCTTTGCTGTTTTCCTTTTAGCAGACACTGCCCCTGTAAAAATCTCTCCAGCTACCTCTTCTGATCCTCACCTACTGTGTTTATGACATCCTTCACAAAAATGCCTCCCTAACAAAAACCTTCACTGTAGCATTTATTGGCACTCTTGACATTATACATCACTTCTAGAATGCCATTTAAAAACCCCACTCTTGTAGATGTTTTTAACCAAATGTATCTATTCTGACCAAGATGAATTTATTCCGACATGAAATACAATTAACAACACCAGACACTGCCTTAACATGGACTGGCAAACAAACACTTTCCAAAAATGCTTTTGACCACCTCCAATGGCCTTATGGCCTGGATGAGTAATATGTTGCAGATATTCTGTAACCTATTATCGAAGATGGTCTTCAATCACCTTTCATTTTCATCATCTCCCTTGAACGTAATCCCCAATATAATCAGCAATGGGCGTCCGCAGGAATTTTTCCAGTAGGGGGCATAATTTTAAAGACATCCATGCTTGGTCCCTTTTTGACAGTGTCATGAAGGGGAGGGGCATAGTCATTATCACATAAAGTCAGGGTGAAAAGCGTTTTCACAACTATGGTGTCAGGAATACATGTTTGTATTCCTGACACTATAGTGTTCCTTTAAGCAAATTAAAGGAACATTCTGGTCACCATAAAAACTTAATCTAAATGAAAATGCTATGATGCCAGGAGGACCCTGGGCGCTCTCTTTCCTTTAAGGGATTTAACCACTCTCAAATGGTTTAACCCCAGAGGCTTCCTCCACCTCCAGATCTCTAGGTCGCTCAGTGGTATTCGGCTTCTGAAACGGAGTGTCAGAAGTGCAGACTGATGTCAGGCATGGGTGCTGCAGATTGCCTAGAGTGGTCAGCTGACGCTCTAAACCAATCACTGGTTCCTGGTTCATAAAAATGTTTTACTTTTTTATGAATGGGAAGCTACTGATTGGCTTAGAGTGCCAGCTGACCGCTCTAGCCAATCAGCGGCACCTCTACTCAGCGGCACTCTGTGCTTCCTGACAGTCAGTAAATTAAAGTGAATACATTAACACTGATATTTTTTTTACCTGGGGAGATGAGAAGGTACAAAGTTTCCCTGCCAGGCCCAACTACCAAAGCCTTATGATGTGGTGTACAGAATAAAGTGGAGGGTTTACTTCACTTGTCCTTCCTGCTCCAATCTCCTTTTCTTCTCCTTCATTTGACAAAGTCTTCTTTCTCTCCTGACACTGTCTTCTTTCCACCTTGGCTCCTTCTGCTCCTTTACCTTTCTGCTTCTTTGCACTCTTCAGCTCCTTTCTCTTTCTGATCCCTTTCTGCTCCTTACAGACCCTTTCTGCTCCTTCTCCTACTTTACCTTTGTGTTCCTTTCTGTTCCTTCTCCTTTTTGCTCCTTGATATCCCTTCCTGCTCATTTCTGTTCCTTCTCCTTTCTGCTCATTCTGCTACTTTACCTTTGTGCTCCTTCTGTCCCTTCGTACTCCTTGGTGACCCTTTCTGCTCCTTGCTGCCCCATTCTGCACCTTCTCCTTTACCGTTGTGCTCCTTCTGCCCTTCCAGCTCCTTGCTGCCCCTTTCTGCTCCTTGCTGTCCCTTGTTGTTTCTTTCTGCTCATTTTCCTACTTTACCTTTGTGCTCCTTCTGATTCTTTCTGCTCCTTCACCTTTGTGCTCCTTCTGTCTTTTCCTGCTCCTGCTGCCCCTTTCAGCTCCTTGTAGACACTTTCAGCTCCTTTCTCTTTCTGATCCCTTTCTACTCCTTACAGACCCTTTCTGCTCCTTCTCCTACTTTACCTTTGTGTTCCTTTCTGTTCCTTCTCCTTTTTGCTCCTTGATGTCCCTTCCTGCTCATTTCTGTTCCTTCTCCTTTCTGTTCATTCTCCTACTTTACCTTTGTGCTCCTTCTGTCCCTTCGTACTCCTTGCTGACCCTTTCTGCTCCTTGCTGCCCCATTCTGCACCTTCTCCTTTACCGTTGGGCTCCTTCTGCCCCTTCCAGCTCCTTGCTGCCCCTTTCTGCTCCTTGCTGTCCCTTGCTGTTTCTTTCTGCTAATTTTCCTACTTTACCTTTGTGCTCCTTCTGATTCTTTCTGCTCCTTCACCTATGCACTCCTTCTGTCTTTTCCTGCTCCTGCTGCCCCTTTCAGCTCCTTGTAAACACTTTCTGCTTCTTGCTGACCCTTCCTGCTCATTTCTATTCCTTTCTACTCCTTCTCCTACTTTACCTTAGTGCACCTTGCAGACCCTTCCTGCTCCTTGCTGCCCCTTCCTGCTCCTTGCTGACTATTTCTGCTCATTTCTGATCCTTTCTGCTCCTTCTCCTACTACACGTTTGTGCTCCTTCTGACCCTTCCAGCTCAATGCTGACCCTTTCTGCTCCTTGATGTCCCTTCCTGCTCATTTCTGTTCCTTCTCCTTTCTGCTCCTTCTCTTACTTTACCTTCCTGCTCCTTGCTGACCCTTCCTGTAGGCTGTCTCCCCCATCCCTCACTTACCTGATCTGTAGGCTGCCACCCCATTCCTCACTTACCTGACCTATAGGCTTCCTCAGCCCCCATCCATCACTTACCTGATCTGTAGGTGGATCCCCCTATCTCTAACTTACCTGATCTGTAGGCTGCCCCCCAGCTCTCACTTACCTGATCTGTATGTTGCCCCACCATCCCTCACTTACCTTATCTGTAGGCTGCCCCCATCCCTCACTTACCTGATCTGTAGGCTGCCCCCCCATCTCTCACTTACCTGATCTGTAGACTGCCCCCCATGCCTCACTTACCTGATCTTTAGGCTGCCTCTCCCCATCTCTCACTTACCTGATCTGTAGGCTGCCCCTCCCCAATCTCTCACTTACCAGATCTGTAGGCTGCCCCTCCCATCTCTCACTTACCTGATCTGTAGGCTGCCCCATGCCTCACTTACCTGAATCTGTATGCTGCCCCATCCCTCACTTACCTGAAGGCTGTCTCTGCAGTCTGGAAGTTGCTGGCTGCACTCTGTGCTGCTCCTCTGCGGATTCTCCACTCTCCACTCTTCACACACAGCACCACCTACTGGCCGGCACCAGTATTGCAGTGTATTCTCAATCTGAAAATAAAAATACCGGCACAAGCTGAAAAATCCATGGGGGGGGGGGGCAAGTGCAAATGCAAGGACTTTTTTTCACCTGTGGTATGCCATTATCTAAAGTTGTGACCTCGTGGCTTGGTCTCATGACTGGTTTATTATCATGTCTTCAGAACTCCTTGATGGCATTATTTTTCCATTTATTTCCCATATATAATATATTTGTATTTAGTTCCCCGATGGTAATACAAGTTGAAAAGAATTTAAAAGTACTT